GAGGCGCCGGACACCGGGAATTTCGGGAGGGGAAACCTGTAAGGGAGCGCGGGGCTCCCGAGGGAGGGAACCACCTGGATTGGATCTTCCCGTGGACGTTAGCACCTGAAAATACCGTTGTTCTCAATCCCGTTGATCTGCTCTGGAATTCCTCTGAACTCCGGGAGAGTTTAGGAAGTCGTAGCTGGGGCGAGTGTTCCAGCAGGAGAGGGGAAGAAAAAAAAAATTGCTTTCAGATAATTTTTTTTTTTTTTTTAATATATGTGAACTTAATGCAGCGCTGGGTGGTGGTGTTTTTTTGTTTTGTTTTGTTTTGTTTTGTTTTTTTTTTCCTGCCCCGATTTTAAAGAGCCAGTAAACCGTAATCATTTAACTGCCGGTTTTATTGTGGGAGGTTAATTCCTGGTCACAGAGCTGGAGCTGTTTTAACTGTTCGCTCGGCTGGGGGATAAAAAAACTCAACAGAAAAAACTCTGTTCGGGCTCCGGGGCCGCTTTCCCCCCACCCAGCGGTGCCGCAGGCAGTGTTTGCCCACCCCCTGTGTCCTTGTCCCCGGGCTCGAGCTATGGCAGGGTGGGCGAGCTGGGAATGCCGTGCCAGGTCCCCCGACCTTGGAGATGACGTGCACGGTTATTTATTTGCTATATCTCTCCTGCAGGGAAGAGGGAGAGCGTTTTGGGGGGAGGCTGGTTCGGAGGGTGAGGTACCGGCCTCATACAGGGACAGAGCTCAAAGTGATCTCCTGGGGAGGCATTTCCAGCCTTGAAAATTTTGTCCTAAGTAGGTGACGCCCTCCCAGCTGTTCCAGCATCACTAGTCCAGCTAGGAAATGCATATTTAGTTATTTATAGGCCCATATGTGCATAATATAATGTATAGATTTAAATACATACCAACTCACACAAACCATTGCTACACTTGCTCCTCCTCCCCGCTGGCCATTCCACATTTTGTCTGGCATTAATCGAACTTCTAAATAATTATGCACTGTTCACCTGTGATACTCATTTCGCAGCCCAGTTATTGCTGGGTGACGTGTTCTTCACGTTTTAATAAACCCACATTTACCGTAAACCTTTTTATTTCATTTCGCAACCCTTTTTATTTCGTTCTTAGGAACGAAACCTTCCAGGTGAAGTTTCAGCTTGGTGTGCTTTTCTGTACAGGAGATTTTGGGACCTGCTGCACCACGTGATGCAGGAGCAGCGGCCCTGACACTGGTTTAGTTGTGACACTGGGTAGAGCAATTACAACACGACAGTGTTCAGTATAAAGTTGTGGCTAAGGGTGCAGTAATTTATTCCCCATTATAATGCTTCAACAAAATTCAATTTATGTTCAAAAAGGGGGAAAAAAAGTAAAGGCAAAGAGTAACCTGGTTTCAATTACATGCTGCAGAATCGTTAGTAGGCCAGGGAATAATCTGGGATATTTTCATATCGGGGTGGCACTGTAAGAGCATGAAGCATACAGGGTTTTATTGCTTCTCTTCTGGTTCAGTAACTTCAGATGAATTGAAATAGGTGGTTCTTTCATCTGTGTGCTGTAAAAATGATTTTTCTCTCCCAAATATATTTTCCTGTGAGATTCCTACGTATGTGCTGATCAAAGCTCTCTGCACTGGGTAGAGATAATGGGGACTGTTTGACTGGGGATGTCAGATACTCTTGAAAAAATGTCTCAGACTGGGCACTGAGAAATCAAAGTCTCCCCAAACTGAGAGTTAAAGTGTCCAAATCATGGTAATTTTGGCCCAGCTGCACCACTTGCATCACTTTGCTTTTCCTTGAGTGAATGATACATGGCTAAATTAAACTTCCCTTTTTACTCACACAAGCAACATTTCCCTTCCAGCCAACATCCTGTCCATAAGAATTTGTAGGATTGGATCGGATTCGCTGAGTATTCCTTTGGTCAAGGTTTACAGACTGCAAGGGTATATAACTCGATCAGCACAAATATCTCTCTCTTCCAGTGTGATAAAGTTTTTAAAGCTGATTTATTCTACTTCCCTTTTGGAAATTCAAGCAGTTAGAGGGCAGATTGCTCCCTTCAGGAGTACATTATGGAAAACACAGTCAGGTTTGAAGCTTTGCTTTACAGCATCCTGAAAACCAGTGCAAAGAGCGGTGAGTGGGCTGTGCCTGCCAATTATGCCATAAAAAATGGCTCACCTAGTGTTGGGCTCCCCCTAAGCACCACGGAGCTCAGGATTTGTGCTAAAGCACTAAAATTGCCTGAATCAGCAGGAGAGTGTTCACTGGAAGGGCAGCACTAAAGCTGCATCTGTGGGGGAATGAGTTGGGTTTCACCACCCGTGCGTCGAGGAGTTGGAAGGAACAGCATCAGGGAAAGGTTTCTATTCCTCTCATTTTGCTGCTGTCGATGGAAATCTCTCCCCCTGTTTTCTTTTGTTTTCACTGGAAATGCTTTAACCAGAGTGCTTGGCTTTCACCCTCCGTCTTTCTCTTTTTTTTTTCAGACTTTGGATGGCTTTGTTTTCGTGGTAGCATCAGATGGCAAAATCATGTACATCTCTGAAACAGCATCTGTGCATCTTGGCTTATCTCAGGTATGAGAGACGTGTTGAATCACCTGTTAAATAAAAAATTTGAACCCAGCACTGGTATCTTGCCATTATATAATAATAATAATAATAATAATAATAATAATAATAATAATAATAATAATAATAATAATAATAATAATTTTTAAGAGGTATTTCAAGATTTGACTTTTTTTTTTTCCCTCTGAAAGCGCCCTTAGCAAAATATTCAAATTCCCTTTCCTTCCACCCACATTTTATATCTTCATATCTTTCCTTGTTCATTGTATTTTAACTCCTCATTACCTTTCAAGGAGGGCAATAAATAATATGATATTGCAAATTGCAGATCTGTGCAGGGCCTGAAACCCAACCCTCCTCCCTTCGAGGTAACTCAATCGCTCTGAAATAAAGCTCAGAACTCGAGCCTGTGAGTTTTAGATTGTGTAAGATATTGAGGCTCGCCGTGAAGGGGAGAGGAAACCTGATGTGGAACACGAGTTTTATGGTAAATGTGCTTTAGGAAAAAAAAAAGGAAAAAAAAAAAAAGAAAGAAAGAAAGAAAGAAAGAAAGAAAAAAAGAAAAGGGGGGTAGATTTATGAGTGTTCACATGGAATTCAGGGTAGTTTTGCCTGAGTTTTTCCAGCTCAGTGGTCTTTTCAGTAAAGCGTTTTATATGGTTGTGATAGAACTCATAAAACTCGGTTTACTACTGTTCTGCACAAGGAGCATAAGGGGCTTTTTTTATTGTTGTTTTCTTTTTTTTTTTTCTTAGATGGACATTTCTGATTCTTTTTTGGCCTTCTCAGGATAGGTACGAGGGCAAACGGCCCGAATTTATCGCAGAAGGCAAATTTCCATGCCTTTGTCTGCAAATGTGTTACAGGAATTCCTTGGTAGCACCTGACCCAAGGCTTGCTGACACCCAACAGAAAAATTCCCAGTTCGTTTCACTGGGCCCTGGGCGAGGCTTGCAAGGAACAGAAGTGTCTGGTCAGAAATTCAGTGTATCAAACACTTAGCAGAGTCAAAGAAAGGGAAATAAAAGACTAGATGGCAGAGATGAAGGTGAGGGAGGGCAGGATGTTCTGAAAAGACCTGGGGAATATGCCCCGTGGTTGTTTCAATAAACAGGGAGGGGGGCTTGAGTGGTGGGGATTACATGTGTGTTTAACCCTGGTAGTAACTAATATTTTTAATTGAAAAAATGTGGAGTTCTTGGGGCGTGTGTTTATGACAGGGATATTTGAATTAGTAGCCGTGAGAGAAAACAGACCTCTAAATAGAGTTCGAAAAAGCAAATATATAAACTCATAAACACCATTTCTGAGTCCCTGCTTCTCTCATATCTTTAGTAAAAGTAGTTTTGAGAATAAATAGTCTGGGTAGGTACTTTTTTCTTTTTTTTTCCCCCTGCCAGCTTTAAAAACGTGACGAGGAAACTTCCTCGGTTCTTTCTTTTGGGGGAATATCAAGTCATCAGATCTCGTGGGTCTGGGTCGTCCAGTGAAATTAAAGATCCATGGGATCAGTGGGACACTAAGGAGACTTTGCCACACGCCAGGAGAGGGGACTGGGAGCTTTAGTCCCATTTATCCCTCCTGGCCATCTGCACTGCCCGAATTCCACGTGCAGGGAAATATCTGTAAGCCCTCAGCGCAAGAAGGG